AAGAAGAAGAAGAAGAAGAAGAAGAAGAAGAAGAAGAAGAAGAAGAAGAAGAAGAAGAAAAGAAAGAAAGAAAGAAAGAAAAAGAAAGAAAGAAAGAAAGAAGAAAGAAAGAAAGAAAGAAAGAAAGAAAAAGAAAGAAAGAAAGAAAGAAAAAGAAAGAAAGAAAGAAAGAAAGAAAGAAAGAAAGAAAGAAAGAAAGAAAGAAAGAAAGAAAGAAAGAAAGAAAGAAAGAAAGAAAGAAAGAAAGAGAGAAAGAAAGAAAGCAACACGTCTATTTGTCAAAAAATATTCTCTGATATATGTATTTCCAGCCAACTGTCTGTGTCTGTAACGACACCAATGGGAACACCCGACATCATGGAAGTGCTGTACATAGGTTTACTAGACGTCGGTGACAATCTGCCATGCCTCAAAGCGGCCCAGACTAAAGCCACATACGAGCCAAGGTATATTTATACGTCTATGTTACAGTAGATTATTGTGCTATACAAAATAAAGGGTTTAGAGCAGGGATTCCCAAGCTGTGAGCCACGGCGCCTTGGGGAGCAAAGCTAACATTTGAATAGTCATACTTTTACTTCGGTTACGGCGCCGTGAAAACAAAAAATTAATTAAAACAAGTTTGGGAAACACTGGTATAGAGTATTGTTTTAGTATCTTATCATCATCATCACCATCATCATCGTTGTTGTGGTTGCTGTTCTTTTTCTTCTTCCTTTTCTTCTTCTTCTTCTTCTTCTTCTTCTTCTTCTTCTTCTTCTTCTTCTTCTTCTTCTTCTTCTTCGTCAAACCTTTTCTCACTGTTTTTTGTTGTTTTAACTCTGCTCTTCCCTGCATCATATAAACATGGAAGTAGGTGAAGGCTTTCATCCTGTCTCCTCTCTCACCCGAATGGGGCACCCGAACCCGTATAGCGAGCATGGTTTCCATTAGATACCTCAAATATGTCTATTCTTTGTTTACAGACAAGCAAATGGGGCGTACAAGGATATAGCAACTCTTGATCTAGGTTACGTCTGTAATGTTGGTGTGGTCAATGACACCACGGGAACAGCAAACAGGGTGAGTCTATTGATGTTGTTGCTGTTGGGTTTAACCGTTATGGTTGATGTTGTTGCTATTGGGGCTACTATTGCTGTTGCTGCTGCTGGAGCTACTGTTGTTGTTGCTAATGTTGGAGCTACTGTTGTTTTGCAGTTGTTAGGGCTACTGTTGTTGTTGTTGCTAATGTTGGAGCTACTGTTGTTATTGCAGTAGTTGGGGCTACTGTTGTTGTTGTTGCTAATGTTGGAGCTACTGTTGTTATTGCAGTTGTTGGGGCTACTGTTGCTGTTGCTAATGTTTGAGCTACTGTTGTTATTGCAGTTGTTGGGACTACTGTTGTTGTTGGAGCTACTGTTGTTGTTGTTGGAGCTACTGTTGTTGTTGTTGAAGCTACTGTTGTTGTTGGGGCTACTGTTGTTGCTGTAGGGGCTACTGTTGTTGCGGTTGGGGCTACTGTTGTTGCTGTTGGAGCTACTGTTGTTGTTGTTGGGGCTACTGTTGTTGCTGTTGGGGCTACTGTTGTTGCGGTTGGGACTGTGGTCATTATTGCTGTTGGTGTTACGGTTGTTTTTTCTTTTGCTCTTGTTGCTCATATTATTTTTGTTCGTGCTGGTAATGGTGTCATTGTCTTTTTGATAATATTGTTGATAATGATTGCCCCAGTTTTTTTACTGTTTTTTTTTTTTTTTCAGTTTGTAATTGTTGCAATTTTTTGAAGTTGGTGTTGAGGTTATTGGCACTAATGTTGGTGTTTGTGTTGCGGTTCTATCACTGGTGTTGTTTCTTTTGATGTTATAGATGTTATTATTTCCATCGTCGGTGCTAATGGTTGCTGTTAATATTGCTATTACTATTGAAGCTAATACTGTAGAATCTATCTTCTCTGTTGAAGATGTCATACAAACCATTGTTCAAAGTGCATTGTCTACCCAGAGAGTCCCTTAAACTAGTATCTGCCTAGGATGTCCCAGAGACCGGTATCGACATGTGATGTCCCACAGATTATTGTCTGCCCAGGATGTCCCAGAGACCGGTATCGACATGTGATGTCCCACAGAGTATTGTCTGCCCAGGATGTCCCAGAGACCGGTATCGACATGTGATGTCCCATAGAGTATTGTCTGCCCAGGATGTCCCAGAGACCGGTATCGACATGTGATGTCCCATAGAGTATTGTCTGCCCAGGATGTCCCAGAGACCGGTATCGACATGTGATGTCCCATAGAGTATTGTCTGCCCAGGATGTTCCAGAGACCGGTATCGACATGTGATGTCCCATAGAGTATTGTCTGCCCAGGATGTCCCAGAGACCGGTGTCGACATGTGATGTCCCAGAGACACTTGTCTGCCCAGGATGTCCCAAAGACCGGTGTCGGCCAGTGATGTCACAGGGACTATTGTCTTCCCAGGATACACCAGAGACCGGTGTCGGCATGTTATGTCCCATAGAGTATTGTCTGCCCAGGATGTCCCAGAGACCGGTATCGACATGAGATGTCCCATAGAGTATTGTCTGTCCAGGATGTCCCAGAGACCTGTATCGACATGTGATGTCCCATAGAGTATTGTCTGCCCAGGATGTCCCAGAGACCGGTATCGACATGTGATGTCCCATAGAGTATTGTCTGCCCAGGATGTCCTAGAGACAGGTGTCGGCATGTGATGTCCCATAGATTATTGTCTGCCCAGGATGTCCCAGAGACAGGTGTCGGCCTGTGATGTCCCATAGAGTATTGTCTGCCCAGGATGTCCCAGAGACAGGTATCGGCATGTGATGTCCCACAGAGTATTGTCTGTCCAGGATGTCCCAAAGACCGGTGTCGGCCTGTGATGTCACAGGGACTATTGTCTGCCCAGGATGTCCTAGAGACCGGTATCGGCATGTGATGTCCCATAGAGTATTGTCTGCCCATGATGTCCCAGAGACTGGTGTCGGCATGTGATGTTCCATAGAGTATTGTCTGTCCAGGATGTCCCAGAGACAGGTGTCGGCCTGTGATGTCCCAGGGACTATTGTCTGCCCAGGATGCCCAAGAGACCGGTGTCGGCCTGTGATGTCCCATAGAGTATTGTCTGCCCAGGAGGTCTCAGAGACCGGTGTCGGCCTGTGATGTCCCACAGAGTATTGTCTGCCCAGGAGGTCCCAGAGACCGGTGTCGGCCGTGATGTCCAATAGAGTATTGTCTGCCCAGGATCTCCCAGAGACCGGTGTCGGCATGTGATGTCCCATAGAGTATTCTCTGCCCAGGATGTTCTAGAGACGGGTGTCGGCCTGTGATGTCCCATAGAGTATTGTCTACCCAGGATGTCCCAGAGACCGGTGTCGGCCTGTGATGTCCCATAGAGTATTGTCTGTCCAGGATGTCATAGAGACCAGTGTCGGCCTGTGATGTCCCACAGAGTATTGTCTGCCCAGGATGTCCCAGAGACCGGTGTCGATATGTGAAGTCCCAGAGACACTTGTCTGCCCAGGATGTCCCAAAGACCGGTGTCGGCCTGTGATGTCACAGGGACTATTGTCTTCCCAGGATGCACCAGAGACCGGTGTCTGCATGTGATGTCTCATAGAGTATTGTCTGCCCATGATGTTCCAGAGACCGGTGTCGGCATGTGATGTCCCATAGAGTATTGTCTGCCCAGGATGTCACAGAGACCGGTATCGACATGTAATGTCCCATAGAGTATTGTCTGCCCATGATGTTCCAGAGACCGGTGTCGGCCTGTGATGTCCCAAAGAGTATTGTCTGCCCAGGATGTCCCACAGAGACCGGTATCGACATGTGATATCCCATAGAGTATTGTCTGCCCAGGAGGTCCCAGAGACCGGTATCGACATGTGTTGTCCCATAGAGTATTGTCTGCCCAGGATGTCCAAGAGACCGGTATCGACATGTGATGTCCCATAGAGTATTGTCTGCCCAGGAGGTCCCAGAGACCGGTATCGACATGTGATGTCCCATAGAGTATTGTCTGCCCAGGATGTCCGAGAGACCGGTATCGACATGTGATGTCCCATAGAGTATTGTCTGCCCAGGATGTCCCAGAGACCGGTATCGACATGTGATGTCCCATAGAGTATTGTCTGCCCATGATGTTCCAGAGACCGGTGTCGGCCTGTGATGTCCCATAGAGTATTGTCTGCCCAGGATGTCCCAGAGACCGGTATCGACATGTGATGTCCTATAGAGTATTGTCTGCCCAGGAGGTCCCAGAGACCGGTATCGACATGTGTTGTCCCATAGAGTATTGTCTGCCCAGGAGGTCCCAGAGACCGGTGTCGGCCCAGAATGTCCTAGGAGTAAAGCCTACCAAGAATATATAACTCTATATTATAATAGTTTACATACACTTTAAGTAAAACTAAGCATTGTTTCTGCTTAATTCCTTTACCTGCTCATTCATACACCTTCAAATCGTGCTAACCCACACAGAACTGCAGGTAACACCTGGATGGTGTAGCGGCTACATGTGCTCTAATTGTAATTGCTTTCGAGGCTGAACGAGGTATTCAGGATCTGCCTTGTTGGGCTAACGCCCTGACTGAGATTTTTGGTAAATCTCTTGGTGGCATAGTAGTGGCATTAGGTAGCAGCCCGGAAGCGATACACAGATCAATCGATCTGTCATTTTCGCTTACAGTCTACATGTTTACCAGGGAGCCCCCGTGGTGTAGCGGCTAGATGCTCACCTGCTGATCAGAAGGTCGTGGGTTCAGAACCTGACGAAGCCGAATTTTTTTTTAGTCTTCTTAAAAAAAAAGACATTGAATGCCAGATTTACTCAGCTGAAACAGGTACCAGGCAACGTCCTGTGAATTAAAGGCGGCCGACGTGATGCTGACCACCAGACCTACCGAGTAGTGACCGATCTATAAAATATAGGTCTTGCCCTATATGCCCAATAGACCTAAAGGCGCGCACAAGAGTCCTTTATTTTAAATGTTTGCCTGCTTTCAGTTGAGAGTTGAGAGCATTGTCCGTCTGCTGAACTCCGCCAAGGTGGCCATCGGTTCCAAGCTTCAGATTCACGGCGCAGTCAACTCTAACAACACGGAGCTGGTGGTGTTCAGTGTCACGCTAACAGTTGGGGACGACTCCACTTATGATGCTGTCTATGTGGTGAGATATCAAACCAGCTTTTTCACGTGCATTTAACCCAAACTTTTCCTTGATAGTATAAAAAGACAGATAGAACAGGCATCATCCTGCGGAGAAAGACTTTTATATAAACTGTAAGTCAGCCTCTGCCGGGGTGCCGGGTTCGATCCCAGCTTCAGGCCTTGCGCCTTGCGTTGGTTTCGTCAGTGGTATCAAGAAGCCGACCGTCCAGGAAAACCGTGGCAAACTACTAGACGTAAATTTGGCTTTAAAATACAACAGCAAAATTTGCTGTGGTTGGTTCTGCAACATCCTGTAAAGGATACACAACTAACTCATTTTTAATTGTAACCGTTTCATGCACACACACACACCCCCCCCCCCCCCGGCCATAATTTCTTACCTCGCACGTGTGTCTCCGGCCCTCTCACAGGAAGCAAAGAATTAAAACACTACACACTATGCTCCATTCGAGATTACAATGGCAGAAGAAGAATTTCTTTACTAGTTTTATGCAAGAAGCCACACAGAAAACATGAGGGGTGCTGTCACCTCCTTCGTGTTTTTAGTGGACTCACGGGACTTGTGCCTAGTAAGTTAGTTTTACACCCACCATGACATCATATAGAGCCATAACCAGCTGGTGACACAAAGTGCCACCATTCGGACGAGGATCACCCGTTGATAGGTCCCAAAACCCCGTTCAAACGTTATGTGACATTAGGACCCTCGACAACAGCCAGGGTGGGGCTTCAAAATAACGAAAAATTGCATCCCAAAAAGGGACGACCAATCCTAAAACTTGCGCTCTCTTTAACAGTTTAATTATAATAATACTCGTGCGAGTCCCAGGGACCCATTTTGTTGGGGGGGGGGGGGGGGGTAGACTCATTGCCTCTTAACAAGCATGCTGTAAAAGCGACTTTAGGGGTAATTAGGGGTGTCCTTTGGAGTCGGAGTGCGTCTATATGAGAGGCTAGGAACCAAAAGTCTGCCTACATATAAGCCAAATCTGTAAAACGGAGGTGCACGCTAACTCAAATTCTAGAACAAGAACAAAATATAGAAGTGGACCAACAACCACAAACAGCCAGCAAACTTTAAAAAATAAGATGATGATAATGATGATGATAATTAGAATATTACCAGTAATAACAGTCACAATAAAAATAAATTTTTATTATTTTATAATGAATGGCATACAAATATAATAATGTATTTAACATAATACGAAATACATAAACAAATACTCAAAACATCTACTGAAATGCTATAGTTGCCGTAGGTAACATTATAGAATCTGTATTAATTTCTGTCAAGGAGGTCCTTCCAACTACTGTCTGCTCTGTTTGTCCCACAGTGCATTGTTTGCTCAGACTGTCCCACAGTGTATTGTTTGCTCAGACTGTCCCACAGTGTATTGTTTGCCCAGACTGTCCCACAGTGCATTGTTTGCCCAGACTGTCCAACAGTGTATTGTTTGCCCAGACTGTCCCACAGTGCATTGTTTGCTCAGACTGTCCAACAGTGTATTGTCTGTCCAGACTGTCCCATAGTGTATTGTTTGCCCAGACCTTTCAACAGTGCATTGTCTGCCCAGACTGTCCAACAGTGTATTGTTTGCCCAGACTATCCAACAGTGCATTGTCTGCCCAGACTGTCCCACAGACTAGTGTCTGCTCAGACTGTCCCACAGACTAGTGACTGGCCAGGCTGTCCCACGGTGTATTGTTTGCCTAGACTATCCCACAGACTAGTGTCTACTCAGGATGTCATAGAAAGTTGATGGGTTTTATGTGCTAGTGTGATGTGTGGATGGGAAAATGGGGGAGGGGGGGGGAGAAAGGACACATAAATACTTTACAAATTACCTGGCCTCTGGATGAGGTGGGGGTGGGGGGGGGGGGCGAGGAACGATCTAAAAATTATAAGAGGTTCTGTCCACCTTCCCCTAATTTTTTTCAGGGGCGCCCATAACCGCCACTTTATTTTTTTCCAGGAAAAAAGAATTTGGCTTAAAAATCATCATCCTCACCATCATCATTATCATTACTTATTAGGAAAAGGTATAAAACCGGACGAAAAGTATATCACAATAAAGCAAAAACAAACAAAAAGTGAACGTTGCGGCTATAGCGCCTTCATCAGCACATACAAAAATCAAACAATACCACACAAATACATACAATTATTTAGCTTAGAATCTCGAAGAAGCCAGGTCGATGTCTTGCCAGTAGACTAAAGAGACACGTGGGACAGGAGAATAAATACACTCCGGGTAATGCCAGGGGGCGTAACTGGAGGGAATTCTATAAAACTGTGTGGGTAGTTAAATCCTACTTAGCTTCAACATAATCAAACAAGTTTCACTTCTGTCGGCAAGCGTGGTGGGTATAAACGGTCTACGGCCCAGCCTCAAGGGGCAGTGCTGACCGTTGTCCTTCTGTGTGGGTGAATAATGAAAAGAACACTCGTAACATTATATAAACGTGAGTTATATAACATAACATAACCCTTGACCCGTTGGATCGTTGAGGCGTATCGACGGAAGCACTAGCTTACACAACTTACCATATTTTTCTGTCTTATTCTTGTTGAACAAGCGTAAAATAATTTCCTTCTGTCTATTTCTTGAAATTAATAAGTTGATAATCCATGATTCTTGTTTTTAGCAGCTGTCTATTTCTTGAAATTAATAAGTTGATAATCCATGATTCTTGTTTTTAGCAGCTGTCTATTTCTTGAAATTAATAAGTTAATAATCCATTATTCTTTTTTTTAGCAGCCCCTCCCCCACATCACCACACACGCCCCACACACACACTCTCTCATTTTTTTATTGTACCCCCCTCCCCCCCCCCCCATGTTCCTTTGCAATCTAATGACTTATTTAACAGTTTATGAAGATTTCATTTCTCTCTCTAGGACGATCTGAACGACACCGCAAACATACAACTGAACTTAACAGAGAGTCCAATAACAGTTGGGATATCCAAACTGAAAACTTTTCCTGTTGTTTTTACAGTTCCTCCTTTTACTTCCACAAAAGTAAGTCATTAATTTTTTTCATATCAGGTGTTTTACTGATATTCATCGTTATCGCCATCCTTGTCATTATCATCATCATCATCATTAACATTATAATCACCATCATTATTATCATGGCTATTGTCATAATCAGTTAAAACAACAGTGAGTGCAGCCAACCTTCAGTGTTAAGGAGAATGGCACTGCGAGAAGTTAAAAGAGGATCTGGCCGACGCTCGACACTCAGGTAAAAGGCGAGACGGATATACAATCAAACAGTTACTGGCACCATCGGAATTTTAGCTCTTCGCTTGCTGCTAGAGATGTAGACGGAGCATTTATTGAGGTGGCTCGAGTGCTGTGATGTTGATTCTTAATTCAACATTCAATATTGTTGGTGCTGCACATATTATTATCCATTTACAACTATACCGCAGGTCCTCTGAATGGCGAGTCAGAAATACGGCTATACGTATATAATAATTGCAGTACGTTTCTCTATATTATACAGGGATATAAGGATGATATATAAAACATGACACGACGAGTAGTTTCACCCCATGATTGGTGTACCCTCTGTCCAACTCTTCTCTACCGCTGATCATATTTCACTAACTGAGATCGTGAAAAAAAATTTCCTTTATAAAATTTAGAGTGGTTCAGATAAGTGTCACATACTTTCTTTTTATAATTATGTCTCCCCCATTTGTTACATAATATTTGAACAACGTGATGTAATAACTTCTGAGTCAGTTCAGTTCTGAGTGTTGTGTTTTGTTTCTTGTCGTTAATCTGCAACGTCCTGTCTTTGTCTGATGTTATCTCACATGGGAAGCTGCAGTATAGATTAAGCGTTTCCAGTCTTTTCGAATCCTGCTAAAATATAGATTGAGCGTTTCCAGTCTTTTCGAATCCTTACACTTTTGAGGCAATTTTTTGTTTAAATAGTAAATATTGAGGTTGAAGAATTGCCGTTACAGTGGTTTTATTTCTGTAGCTCTTATACTGTCATGGGGTCCTTTGTAGCACAGTGGGCAGATATTTTAAAGACAGTCTATGATCGACTGAGTTTATATGTTAGGACATGTTTTTGATTACTGAATAACTGCAATCTTGAAGGCATTATATGTTCAGGGACTAAAGAATGAATGCGGTTTCTTCGAATTTCGCCTGTTTAATTCCTTTCTTTGGTTTTCACCTGCTAGATTTCTTTCTTTTATTTTCGCCTGTTCGATTCCTTTCTTTCCTTTTCGCCTGTTCAATTCCTTTCTTTGCTTTTCGCTTGTTCGATTCCATTCTTTTCTTTTCGCCTGTTCTATTCCTTTCTTTGATTTTCGCTTGTTTCTATTCCTTTCTTTTGTTTTTGCTTTTTCAATTCCTTTCTTTGATTTTCGCCTGTTCGATTCCTTTCTTTGATTATTGCCTGTTCGATTACTTTATTTGATTTTCGCCTGTTTGATACCTTTCTTTAATTATTGTCTACTAGATTCCTTTCTTTGCTTTTCGCCTGTTCAGTTCCTTTCTTTGCTTTTCACTTGTTCGATTCCTTTTTTTTCTTTTCGCCTGTTTGATTCTTTTCTTTGATTTTCGCCTGTTCGATTTCCAGTCGGATTAGTCACCGTTTAGTCAGTGGTTGTCAGTCTTTTAAGCTGCATACCTGAAGGAGACAACAGAAAAACAAAGATCGATTTTCGACTTGTTCTCCTGGTTTTTTTTACTGTTAACGATTTGTGTGTTCCCTGAAGATTACACTGGATGCTTCGATGCCTGTTAACGTATCTGCCATCATGACTGTGATTGACGTCACGTTTATCAGAAGTGGTGGAAATCTTCCCAGCCTGGAGAAGTTTCAGATGGACTTTGTGGTGGTAAAATCATCCAAGCATAGCACGTCCCAGGTTACCTCCTATAGAGTAGAGACCGGAGTCATCTCCAACGCTGGTGAGTTAACAATCATAAAATGTGAAGGCTCACAAATACATGTCAGCAAGTTTTTAAACTTTTTCTTTATCTTTATTTTACCTCTACTGTACCGTTACTTTACCCCTACCTTACCTGTACTTTAAGTAACATTACTCTTACTTTACTTTTACATTGCCTTTAGTTTTATTTTACTTTTGCTTTCTTTTCTTGTTTTCCTTGCCGTTACTTCAACGTTGTTTAAAAAAAAAATTACTCCACTTTTACTTTCATTGCTTTACTCTACATTTGCTTTACAATTTGTTTATCGTTACTTCTACATTGCTTTACAATTTCGTTCCCTTTACGTTATAATTTACCTTCAATCCACCTTTACTTTATCGTACTATCTCTGTAACTTCACAGTACATTCACGTTACTTAAAAAAGTCATTATCACCAACATCATTATGTGTCATGCCGATAAACGTCGGCAGTGATAATTTGGCATCTCATATGATCTCCAGTCACAGAGCAGGTCTGTTCTCTTGTACCGCCAAACTACGGGGCTATGTCAACGTTGTATCTATATCTCTACCTTCCTTTAGCGCTTTTACACGAAGCTGACTTGTGGCGGCAAAGCTTCTGAGTCGGTTAAAACACCTACTGTCAGCGTCGATTACCTCTAGTTAGTTACAGTGTTCATTTGTCTCAAGATGGGGATGTCTCCATGGCCAAGTGGTCAAGCCGTTTGCCTCGCATTTTGAAAGTTGCAAGTTCGTTTCACGACTGCGTTGTTCAGTTCACGAATTGGGATCGTCGCCGGAGCTACGGAGGTCCTGCTCTGTGCAACTATTCGACAGGCAGATAGCTGTTCTGCAGAAAGAGAGAGAGAAAGAGAGAGAGAGATAGAGAAAGAGAGAGAGAAAGAGAGAGAGAAAGAGAGAGAGAGAGAGACTGAGCCATAATAGATAAAACCTTGTGCACTAAAGTTGATTCTCTCACTTTTACCTTCTGTCTCAAGAAGGACTGTCCTATTTGTTCTTCTGTCATTTTATGATATTCTTGACTGCATCGTCTCTTTAAATGTAGTTTTAATTTACACTCATTTTAATTTACTTTAGTTCACTTAATATTGCCAGTGTTATCATTTTCACATTATCACAATCACCAACGAAAATGAACGTTGTGGATAGAAAGTCTGCATCAGATTTGTGGCACAAACCTGCAACGATGGGAAATGTACTTTACCTTTACTTGAATTTATCGTTAGTTAGTAAGCTATTTAGTTAGTTAGTTAGTTAGTTAGCTAGCTAACTAGCTAGTTAGTTACTTAGTCAATAGAATATCCTGACTGCACAGCAAATCATTCAGTCCATACGTGCTCAGATCTCATGTTCAGCAAATGCCACAATGAGTAGCGATCGGAGACAGCAGTTTTTATTTTTTTTTAATTTTATTAGTACTCTTTGACTTCCTGCCTCATTCCTTTTAACTTGCTGTTCTTGTAGTCTGATCATGGTTGCAGATCCACAGTCCACACTTGGTTTTCATAGCCCTATTACTTCTGGCAGAGCATTCACAGCCTGGTCAGCTCTTTACAGATCCTTACCTGCAAACCTATCAGCTTGCTCAGCTTCCTGAACACCTGCATACCTTGACAGACGGATAACATTGATCTTTACTAGCGGGGAAGCCTCATAGACACCGACGTCTGTCTTCAGACTCAGTTTGCCTCTCTTCCGAGCATACCTGCTGAGTCATCAAATAAAAAAAAAAACGTCTTCAGGTGTATTGGGCATATAGTGCTATACCTATATATTAGAAACCAATCGACACTTGGTGTGTAATGTGGTAAACATCACTCCAGCCACCTTTGCTTCCCAAGACTTTGTTTGGTACCTATTTGAGGCTTGGTCGACCTGGGAGCCAAAGTCATATGTTTTTTTTTTTTGTTTTTTTTTTTTTTGTTGGTATGTCAGCCTTCCTCAGGACCTGAATCGACGACCTTCGAATCCGCAGGCGAGCTTCTAGCGGCTACACCACAGAGGCTGCATTAAAAAAAAATCTCCTGGTCTAAGGTTGTCTCAACATTTCGAAATGAGGGGGCTGTTGAGCGGAAACAACACATCGACAAAGCGTGGGGGTTGAATACCAGAGAGGCCCCAGGCCGCTTAAATCTGCGGAACGGATGGTACAGAAGCATGATTTCTGGACTGTATCGTTGCCCCCCAACGTAGTGGTGCTAAGAACATCGTCGCACATTCGAGCGGTGTTCTGACTTACAGACGTTCAGCCATAATCCCTCAGATGAGTAACTGACTGCATGAGATTTCTTGTTGCTTCTCTCACAGCCAGATCCATAAACCTCGTACAGCTCAACGGGAATTCTCGTTTTTGGTAGGCCGGCCGTGGCCCGTCCATTCTCACCGCTGCTATCAAATAGATTTATACGTAAATTAAACAAGAACTTAATTAAATTGCAATTAATTGGGCTATTATTATTATTACTCTGTATAACCCACTTACTTATCTTCAAAATAATATTTTATCAATAACACATATTGCAAATTAATTAAACTGTAGTTTAAATGTAAATGTAAAGTCAGGACATGTGAACCAGCTTCATTGCACAAGGTTATAAACCATAAGTACTCTGCCACCAGTTCGGATATCTGATAAGAAACTGTACTCCTGTGTCGCTGTCCGCACGCAACTCCGTAGCTACAGCGACGTTCCTCCATTTACCTCAGAGTGTTAACTCTGGTATCTATTACCTAGAGGCTGGGTGAACCCCGGAAACCGCCTGGTTTCCAACACCGGTCGTAGGCTGCAGCAAGTCGCAGCTGAAAGCGAGTCTTCTATCGACTGCGCTAATGCAGCCCCCCCCCCCCCCAAAAAAAAACACTTTAATTTGTGTATAAGTCTACTCACTAACAATGATGAGCACCGACCACCCACGGCAGGCCTCCCAAAAACCGGGAAATCCCGTTAAGCTGTACAGCCTTATCTGGAATTGGCTGTGCTTTACTTACTTATTTCAAATAAGGGTGTGGCTATATTTCTTGTATTTCCAGGTGTGACTTATCGTTTTAACCGAAACTCGTCGGACGATGACACCTTTACCGTTGAGTTTACGCTGCAGATGGCTGACTGCGTGGTAGCCTTTGACCAGTCGCAACATACGGTCAGCTTCGGTCTGGACATCGCCAGCAGCATTCTCATCCTGAACGTCCTGGTGACGGCGACCAGGACGCAGAAAGAGGAGGTCAGCTTCAACGTTTCCTCGTCGGTGGATTTGATCAATTCCACATCGTAAGTTTTAAGACTGTAATCATTTGAAGATTTGTTAACTATTCATTGTGTGTGTAAAGACTGAAACCATTGTGTAATCATTTGAAGATTTGTTAACTATTCACGTGTTTGTAAATAATGAAAACATTTTGTAATTATTTGAAAACTGCAACTCTTCAACGTGTTGTAAAGAAGGAAATTATTTACGATTTGTTCTGTCTTAAAACAACACAAATATGGGTATCAAACGGGTTGACACAATTCTAGAACACCTTAATTTTCTGACGACATAGTGCTTTTGAGTTCAACGTAACCAGATATCCGAGAAAATAAAAATAAAAATAAAAAACATCTCAAACAATTTACAGGACTAACTGGTCTCCAAATTTACACAGCAAAAAAAAAAGAAAATTTTTAATCTCACTAATAGTTCAGACGACATCAAGCTAAACAGTCACATTCTTGAAAAAGTCAACAGCTTTACATACTTAGATGTAAGATGACATCTATAGGGGAAAGCGCCAGAAAAATCATCTATAATCGCACTGGAATCTAGTGCATTTAACAAACTGTCAAGCATCTGGACTCAGCAATCATACAAAACTTAGGATCTTCAACTCTTGTGTGATTTCAGTGCTAAATTATGGATGCAAGAGTTGGAAAGCAACGGTAGCTCTCTCTCTCTCTCTCTCTCTCTCTCTCTCTTTCTTTCTTTCTCTCTCTCTCTCTCTCTCTCTCTCTCTCTCTCTCTCTATGTGTGTGTTCAGTTCAGTTTGTTCCAAAAAACAAAAGTTCTAGTCTCCCTAACTAGCTCCAAAAGTGAGCGGCGGTTATGCTGGGACTGCGTTTTCTTGTTTGGGATTTCCAGAAGTTTTTTTTTTTCCATTGTGGCGTATCCATACGCCTGTATTTCTGCCACCTGTCTGTGCAGCCTTATGCCGTTTCCTTGCTGTGTATCAGATTGTCTAGCCTGCCGTTGTTGAGTGCCCCAAGGCATCCACCAGTGACACCATCTCGAAACAAACAAGCTTGCCACTTTGCGCAACCAAACAAGACCTCTTTAGGGGCCTCTCTCTCTTTCTCTCTCTATACATACACACACACACACACACACACACACACACACACACACATATATACATATATATATATATATATATATGTATATATATATATATATATATATATATATACATTTTATATACAATATACAAATATCTTAGAAGTATAATAAATCTCCGCTGGACACATTTCAGATCTAAAACGTAAATAAGACAAGAGACCGAGCAAAACAATGTATCCAGTTTTGTAAGAAAGCGCCGCTGGAAGTACATAGGCCATGCACTCAGAATGGATAAGACCAGACTTCCCTACTAAGCTCTCATTTTGACACGGGAAGGAAAAAGTCAACGGGGAAGACCAAGAGAGACTCTACGTAGAACAATCCTGAGGGAAGGCTAAACCATAGACCTAACAAACATCCAAGACCTGAAGCAGGTGGTAACGAACCGCCAGACAAAGAGAGCTATGACCTCTGCCCTATGCGCCACCCTAGGCCCAAGAGGAAAGACTTATTATCTTTAAAAAACGAGAATGCGATCAAGACGGCTGATATGGCTGGTGGATTGACTATATTAACGAAGCAATTGCCCCAAGTCTTGTCATTCGGATGATCTAGTCATTCCCTTTTGGAAAGCAATTTTTCGCTAAAGCGCCACCCTGGTTCTTGCAAGGCACCGCAATATAGCCCGGCAATAAATATGGCCTAATGGCTAAACGCGGTTTCCGAGACCTCTCCACGGGTGATCCTCATCCCCATGGTGGCACTTTGTGTCATCGGGTGTTTATCGCTTGTATGATGTCTTGGTGTGGTAAAAAAAAAACTACTAATACCCAAGTCTTAGAAGTTGATACATTTTTGTTAGCCACCGAACCGGCAATCGAACCACTTTCCAATAAACAAACAAGAGCAACACGTCTAGAAGATCTACAAGGTTGCCCGAAGTTTTTATGGAATACGATTCTCCTTTGGAGCGTTAGTCTTCCTCCCCCTCCTGTTCTATCTGTGCCAGCAACTACAGACCACAAAGGTTATACTGAATGGTTTATATTTTTTGTCACATAAATATCCAATGAAAAGTTAAAAAAAAATGTTTTTGGTGCCTGTGAACAGAGTAAGTGCATGTGCAATGACTTCAATGGTAACAATTATTTCGGCTCGCGAGTATTTCGGTTCTCAAACGTAGTCAAAGAATGAATTTATATATCTTTTTATTCCTGTATTTCCTAGCTTTATAATTATTGTATCCTTTTATCCCTGGTTGTTTTTATTTTCCCTTACAGAAGCAAGGTAGAAATCGACACCATCTTACGATTGTCGAGCCTGTCCACCGCTGAAGGTCAGAATTCTATCCTGAATATATTTGTGCCCATCTTCGCTGCCTATGTGTCGACAGTGGTCACTAGTCCATACAAGATCATTACCAGTGAGGTGAACATCAATAATGTAGTAACACTGAGTGTAAGTCCATGTTATTTATATTATTATTGTTTGGAAAAAGAATCCACCTTCTTGTGTGTCTTTGGATTTCTCTGCCTACCTTCCTGCCTGCCTACCTGCCTGCCTACCAACCTGCCTGCCTACCTACCTGCCTGCCTACCAACCTGCCTGCCTACCAACCTGCCTGCCTACCTACCTGCCTGCCTGCCTACCTGCCTGACTGCCTGCCTACCTGCCTGCCTACCTACCTGCCTGCCTGCCTACCTGCCTGCCTACCTACCCTCATTCATTATATCTGTTCCCAGTGTGAGGGTAGGGTACCTGTGAGGTAAAAGAACAGGCCGGCTACCACTGAACAAGCACACAGAAAACTAAGTTAATCAGAGGTGTGCTTCAGTTGGTTATGTTGTGCCAAATAGCACATTTATCTGTTTTGTTTTTATAAAACACAATCGTATGTAAAGGTACTTGTTCAAATATTTATGAGCATACAAAGTAGAAAAAGTCGTTGTTCTGACAGTTCCGTATTTGTTTTTTTTTTTTTTTTTTTCGAGATTATTCCTGAGACTTCCAAAATTGTACCCCAATCTATAGTTCTGACTTGAGAGTTTCACACATCATTATTTCAGTGTTTGTATTTGCATGTTGTGTCAATGTTTCTCTGGCAAAAGGTTTATACTTTGTTCTTGATAGTTTCCCCCCCCCCCCCCCCCCGAAATATATGATTCAGCAAGCTTTTCAAACTAAGTAAGGGATAAAGAAGAGTAGCGTGCTCGGATCTGCCAAAACTGACGGTCATTATCCTGCCCCCACTTGGTACACTTTCAAGACACGCTACCCCCACGAAAAAGACAATATATCCCGTATTGGAAACGCCCACAAAATAGCAGCCCTAACAAGAAAACAGAATAAATCCTAAGCGTTTCGGCGCCACCGAATAATAACAGCCGATCGTGGCCATCTTCTAAACGGAAGTCTGCTTCTGTCTAATTCTATTATTGACCTTGCTTGCTTGTTTCACCCCACTTGGACATCATACAAGCGATAAAACCCCGGATGACGATCACCGTGGAGAGGTCCCAGACACCCATTTCACCTGCTATATTCAGGTCCCCTGGCAAAGGCCAAGGTGGGGCTTTAGGTAACGAAAAATTGCATCCCACAAAGGGACGACTTATATAGACTATTATTGCCCTAAGTAGTAGTAGTAGATTTTTACCCCATTAGGACATCACACAAGCGACAAATACCCGATGACACAAAGTGCCACCATGCAGATAAGGATCACCCGTGGAGAGGTCCCAGAAACTGTGTTCAGCCATTAAACCATATTTATGGTCGGGCTATATTGCGGCCCCTGGCAAGAGCCAGGGTGGGGCTTCAAATAACGAAAACTTGCATCTCACAAGGGCATGACTGGATTGGATGTTAGGATATTATTGCTCTTTTGCATTAGTACTGTCAAATAGAGCATAGAACATGCATTATCTTTCAAGCATATTACGATCTCCAACAACACGAATCAATGAGTGCTCTGGTGCCCGTACTAACACCTTTCCAATCCGTGGCAAAAGGTTGCCAAGACTCTTCTGTAGTTTAAATAATGTGGACGCAAACAAAATACATTGCACTATTTATTGCCTGGCATATTTGGCTGCATTACTACAGGTACTGTACTGCAGAGTTAAATCAAGACACGATGAAGCACATGCAATTAATCAATTACGCTGAAATATTTAAATTTTTATTGTCGAATTGCGCTGTACATTTGTTCACCATAAATATAAGATTAGTTATGTCCATGGTAACTTAAAATTTATCATCTGCTCTTTTAATTTACATAAAACAGAAAAATGCAGTTTTATTGATACGGTCTCGGTCAGTTTTAACAGAAGTGTTTTATTATATGCTGACTGAACTCTGTAGTAATGCAGCTGAAGAGATTACGCAAAATAGATAAAGCAGTTAGTGGTGTAATGTATTATTTGTGCCAACATTATTTAAATTTAAAACCAGAAAACATTGCTGTGAATATCTTCTCTAGTCTCTCTCTCTCTCTCTCTCTCTCTCTCTCTCTCTCTCTCTCTCTCTCTCTCTCTCTTTCTCTCTTCATAGATAGCTAACATGTCAATATGGACCGTATTGTTTTCTCAGCATGATTCAGTATTATTATTCAATGATATATGGGGTATTTTCTATTTGCCAGTTTGGTCCGATATTTTTCACTAATGAAATATGATTCATTTTCTGTTTGCCAGTTGTGTCCAGTGTTCTTCACTGGTGAAATATAATCCACTTTCAAATTACTAGTTTGGTCCAACATTCTTCACTGATGAAATATGATCCATTTTCTATTGACCAGTTTTGACCTTTATTCTTCACAGATGAAATGTGATTCATTTTTTGTTTGCCGTTTTGTCCAGTATTTTTCACCGATGACATCTGATCCATTTTCTTTTCACTAGTTTGGTCCAATATTCTTCACTGATGAAATACACTTGACAACAATCCTGGCCTCAAACACATCTCATCCAGTGCCTGCTGAAGTGACCGGACTGGACACTGTGTTTACCATGCAGCCAATCGCCGACACTCATACAACAACTGATTTAGCAGGGGAGATCACCTACCTGAATTTTAGTGTGACAACCACACCACAGGGAAGCTGTAAGTAAAAGGACAATGTTTCCGTCTTCGGGCGTATAGGGCATATAGGGCTAGACCTATATTTTATACCCAATTGGCATTCGGTGGATGATGTGGTCAACATTACGCCAGGTACCTTTACTTCCTAGGACTTTACTTGGTACCCATTTATGGCCGAGTCAATTTGGGATCTGGACACGGTGTTATGCTCAATATGTGCTTGTGGTATTAAAGAATACATTTTATGTTTTTTTTTTTTTCGTCCTTTTAAGGACGACATTTTTTGTTATTTGAAGCCCCACCCTGGCTTTTGCCAGGGGCCGCAATATAGGCAGGCCATAAATGTGGCCAATTGTCTGAGCGAGGTTTCTGGGACCTCTCCACGGCGATCCTCATCCACATGGTGGCACTTTGTGTCATCGGGTGTTTATCGCTTGTGTGATGTTCTGGTGGGGAATAAAGTCAGTCAATCAATATGTGTTCATTATACAATTAGACGTGCCGTCACAAAAGAGTATTAAGAGCTATGTATATCTCTCTCTAATAGAAGTAGTAGTAGTAGCAGTAGCAGCAGTAGCAGCAGCAACAGTAGTAGTAATGTTGGTAGCAGCAGTAGTAAGTACAAGCTTTGTTCACCCCTACAGTTGAAGATACTGCAGCCTAGCTGTAAACCACAACAAAACGTAACAATCGAAGACAGAAGAAAGAACGAAAGAACAATGAGAGAGCTTTTTTTTTCAAAGGGACCTGAATTGGGCACGCATGCCCGTCTTCCATAAGGTTGAAGAAGAAGAATATACCAGTGGTCCTTTAAGTGTATAGTAGTAGACCAACAGTTCATAGACTACGTGTGTGACGTGTTCAACAGCTCACCGACCATCACTACTTCCAGTAACATTTCCTGGTAGGTATTTTAAGCTGGTCGACTTGGGGGGGGGGGGGGGGGGGAGGGGAGCAACGTCAGTTAGGACAAATGAGATTCAATCTTGATTCCAACCCAAGAAACCTGGACTTGCAGGCAGGCTTTTAAACGTTTCTCTACTACACCACTCTGTTTTCTCTTATCATGACTGTCTGTCTGTCCCTGTCTACACAGACACACACACACACAAGGAGTAATTTAAACGCCTCATATATGTGATATAGATCACACTTATATTCCATTGTCTTCCAACCTCTAAATATTATTGTTAATGATATCAAGAGTGTAAGGCACTTGATATCACGATTCATATTAATACAGTGACAACATAATTATTTAAACAGTGGTAAAGATCATTGCCTCGCTTTGGACAGGCACCAAAGATGGACAGCGTTCTGTGCTGCCTTGTGCATTAAATGCACATGTAGTCTATTGGTTCTGTTGAGACTTTGTTTGATCACGGAAGGGGTGCATGTGTGCTCATTGTCATGATCCTCCACTTACCTCTTCATGTCTGCAACATCAACATCCAAGCCCGTGCCACTGCAAATGAACGCAAATTATAATTGCCCCGCTTACAAGCTCACAGTGTCCTGGCAACACCTGGCCACAATTTTCTACAGGTCAAGTTTAAGGTCCTGTAAGTCACTTGCACCCAAGCTGTGTCTAGTATACGTAATTATACAGTGGAGAGCGAGGATGTTGAAGTTATTTCCCCCTAGAGTTCCTTCAGTTGTCAACTGTACTTCAGAGGTCCTTGAAACAACTTAAAAACAGCCTAGCTTTAGAATTGAGTTTCTGAAAGTTCAGGTGCTTTCCCAACCCCCCCCCCCCCCGTCCCCCACCCACTCCCCAGGATGACGTCCCAGGACAGTCAGATATTTTCGAGTGTGGTAAGAGCGGGTTTCCCGGCTTTCTGATGCCTTTAACGTCCCCAAAACATCTAGGACTGGGCCTAACCCCAATCCACATACGTCCCCCGACTGCATGCAGCCTAGGTCCTCCGACTGCATGCAGCCTTGATCCCACGACTGCATGCAGCCTAGGTCCTCCGACTGCATGCAGCCTAGGTCCTCCGACTGCATGCAGCCTTGATCCCACGACTGCATGCAGCCTAGGTCCCCCGACTGCATGCAGCCTAGGTCCTCCGACTGCATGCAGCCTTGATCCGACGACTGCATGCAGTCTATCTACCACCCTAAAATATTAGACTGGGGGAGAAGATACTGGGACAAAACTAGTCTATAATGACCTACTGGCTGGATTGAAGGAATTGTAGTTGGCGTAGGAACAACACTGGTAAGAGCTCAAACTCCTTCACCAGCTTCTTCTGCATGTCTAGAGGCCCAGTGGGATCACTGACCATGACAGTTTTTAAAAGATTGCATATTGGAACAAAAATTTAGACTGAAACCTTCTGTTTTGCTAAATTCTCTTCCCGTCAAGTAGACGATTTCAGGACTAGTACGGGAGCTGAGGTAATGTTTGGAAACCGAGACGTCCGCAAAACAAAATTATTCATAAACCAAACTATATTTCGCTAATCTGGATCCTACTGTGTGAATACATACACACACACACACACACACACACATATATATATATATATATATGTATATATATATATATATATATATATATATATATATATATATATTACTATAACAACAATCGTTGGCTGTAAAACGGTTCTAGTGTATGTTCTTGTCTCGCTTATGCTATGTGATCAAGCCAAACAGGTATTTATCTCTTTGTTTCCCCCTTTACCTTTTTCCCCCTCGTTCGTCAAATTTAACATATTTTTAGTATCTTTGTCTGTGTCAAATTTAACAGCTGGGTGTGCATTGGAAGCTCTGGGCATGGAGTCTGGCGCCATCAAGGACTGTCAAATCTCATCTTCTCCAGACTCCATAAGCGGCAACGAAGCAACAGAGGGCAGATATAATAAAGGCAAAGGTAGGAAAAGCGATGATTTCTTTTTAACATGTGCGTGCGTGTGCGTGAGTGTGTGTATATATGTATGGATATTGTTGCAGCCGGTTGTACTCTCTAATTCAGTCTTTCACATTTGGTGATCCACAGATCCCTAGTGGTTAGTGGAACATAAGGTGATCCACAGATCCCTAGTGGTTAGTGGAACATAAGGTGATCCACAGATCCCTAGTGGTTAGTGGAACATAAGGTGATCCACAGATCTCTAGCAGTTAATGGAACATAAAGTGATCCACAGATCCCTAGTAGTTAGTTGAACATTCAATGATCCACAGATCCCTATCGGTTAGTGGAACATTTAGTGATCTACAGATTCCTAGCGGTTAGTGGAACATTTATTGATCTTCAGATTCCTAGCGGTTAGGGGAACATTTAGTGATTTACAGATTGCTAGCGGTTAGGGGAACAAAATTAGGGTGTGTGTTTTCCATTGAAGGCATTTTTCACTGTGCACTTCGAATGATAAGAGTAGTCAGCAGATCCTGGCTAATTTAGAAGCACTGTTGTAATCGGTGTTTTATAAACAATTTCCATATGTTCTTGTCCAGTGAGCACTTGATGTGGACATACAGGTGCTCTGTTTATAGCTTCTTGTGTGGTTGAGGGTTGAGACGGCGCCTGAGAGCTAGCCTGTAACAAACACCACCAGAAGGCTCTGGAGATCTTCGCCAGTGATCGTGATTTCAAGAAACCAGTTATAGTTCATAGACGCCCGTACAATAATCCACAAATATAACCAAAAGCTCCTTTGGTGATGACTTAGGCAACTAGTTCCCCAGTAGCTGGTTAAATGTGGACACTTTCTGTTTTCCAAGTTAATTTAAAGTGTCAGATATTTATCCTATTAAACTGCTGATTGAGATTTTTTATTAGTTTTTGAAAGGGGAGTCCGTAGTCCTCGGCCACCTCCCCTCCCTTCGTGTTCCCCCCCCCCCCCAAAGATTGCGTCAACAGGATTAACATCTCCATGATTAGAACCGAACAGGACGAATCCCGGAAACCTTGTTCGATCGTCTAATCATATTTATTGATTGTTCTTTTGAGCCATTAAATATTACACAGCATAGCTGGTAGTCTTGGTCCCCCCCCCCCCACTGAATTCTATCCTGAGCAATCACTTCCATATGATAATGGGATCCAATCACGCATCTTTGGCTTCCCTCATCAGCGTTTGCTTTGGGGTTTCTGTTGTAAATCCTAGTTTCCTCACTCCCTCTATTTCCTATTTCAATGTATAGCCATATAGTCCATTCCAATATATGGCTATATCGCACCATTAAATTGATGATGCTCACCAAGTCACCACAAAGTTTCGACTCAGAAATATATTATAGGTCTAATCCTATATGCCCAATATACCTACAGGCGTGGAAAAGGGTCCTTTACTTTGACAGTTATACTGGAGATTGGAGCACCACAAACGGTAACGAAGTAACATGAAGTCCATGTGGGTGAGCCTGCGAGTTCGTGATCCAAGAAGGGGTGGGGAGATTATTTTTTATTCTTAATCTTTCAGGCTGGTCGCCATTTGTCCACACGGGAAAAGTCAAAGAAGAGCGATACTTGCAGGTGTACTTTGGCAAACAGATGCTGGTCACGAAGATAAAGATACAACAGCAAGGTCCAGCCTGGGCAAAAGAACTGGCTCTGAAGTACAGCAATGATGGGCTGTCTTGGATTCCCAATAACCATACGGTGAGTTCTGTGTGGGCTGGTGGTGACAGTGTCGTCAGCTGTGAATATTGGTTCATTGTTGAATCCTTGAAAGATTTAGCTTTCTGTTTCAATGACCATTCCTGGCAAAGAGACCTGTGTACCAGGGTGCCAATACAAACAAGAAATTGGAAAAAAGGGGGAGGGGGGGGGGGGTGAGTCTGAGTAACATTAAAGTGTTTCTTGTTGGAAGGAAGGGCTGATGGGAATTGTCGTGACTGGGTCTTGAATCGTGCAAATTAGGAGACTTCTAAGACGGTGTCAGATAGTTCATTCGCCAGTCAACCGAGTATTTCGGAATGAAGATTCGTGAAGCACACTGGTGCATCTTAAAGTCAAGTTAGAAGATATCGAGACGCGCCCAGTCAGTATGGAGATACGTTTACTGATTGTAATCCAGGAAAGATTTTGCTTCTGAAAATAGTCAGCCGTTGCATTTTCATCCGCATATAGACTGAAAGGATACCGTTCCATCGTCCAGCTACTGAATGAATGACTCGACTCTGTGATCTGCCGATATCAATACAAATATTTTTTTTTTTTTGCGCTTTTGAGAGGAGACTCGCTTTCAAATCTGCCTGCGACTCGCTGCAGCCCATGGTATCTTTTCGAAACCAGGAGGTTCCCGTGATTCACCCAGCCTCTAGGAACTGGGTATCCCAGACTCTGGGGTAAATGGAGGAACGTCGCTGTAGCTAAGGAGTTTCGTGCGGACAGCGACACAGGTGGGCAGTTTCTTATCAGCTGTCCGTACTGGCGGCAGAGCACTTATGGTTTACAACCGTGTGCGATGACGCTGGTTCACATCTCCCGACTTTACCTTTTAAATATTTTGTTGGCTGTGCCCAGCGTGGTTTGTGTTGTGAACTGCAGATTCAGAAAATGACAAATGGCCTGTTGCCAGAGAACTGGTGATGCTATATGCGATTAAATGCTTGTGAAACTACTGATCTGTTGTAACTGCTGCTTCCATCTACGGTGAGCTGTATTTCCAGTGCTGGACTGCTTGTATTGGCACATCTGACAGCTGCCTTATGCAGTTGATGCATATGTATGCTACTGGTTTTGTTGAGACTGCTGTCTGTGTCAGTATTTTCTCCACAAGGGACAGTGATGGACATCATGCGGGGTTTTCGTTTGCACATGAACAGAGCAACTATGGGATGGCTCGTTTGTTATGTTGTTCTAACTGCGATTACCTGATAGGAGATATTGTAATCACCCCTAATCAGTGGAGGCACCTTGGGTTGGCTGAGCAGGAGTGGTAATGCCCAGCGTGCAACGACACCGGTTATGATAACTTGAGATAACTCAACAATGCGGTGAACAGAATACTCGGTTAGAATGAAGCCAGACGATCTAACAATATAATCCTAGCCGTTTCATATATGCTCATCAGTTTGTGTGTATTGACATGTTTCCCCAGCTGATGCTAACAGTCGGAAGTGCAGAACAAGAGAAGGACGTGTTCATTCCTCAAGCCTCGAGATATCTCCGTGTGATGGTTTCTGCTCTTGATCAGGAGAATCTGAAATCGAATTTCAGATTTGAGTTCATGGGCTGTGAGACCAGCACCGAGGCAGTAACAGGTGCGACCATATATTGTGTCATGTTACGTTTTAAAAAGCGTTTTAAAGATAAGTCAGGATCTGTGGCTTAGGCGTTGAGAACGCGCTTCCTGATTCCAGAGTGCGAGCTCAATACCAGCTGCAGACAATTTGGCCCCAGACCGCCATACGTTTGTTTTGACAGTGGTATCGAAAGCAGTAACAAACTACTGAAGCTAAATTTGCCCAGAAAACCACAACAGCCGAAGAATGCTGGGTTGGTTTTGCAACGTCCTGTCAGGGATCTTCTTCTCAAAGTCCACGCCGTGTGGCGTTGGTAGTCATGTCTATCCACAACCTTCTGTCTCGTGTACTTTCAATCAACTCTGACACAGATGATCCTCCATGCCGTGATGTCAAACTGTCCAGCATCTTTTCTTTCGGTCTCCCTCTGCCTCTCCTCCCCTCCAACTTTCCTACTGTCATGAGGTACTCTAGTTTTCTCCTTTTCATCACATGACCAAAAAATACATAGTGTCTCTTTCTAATGTGGCAATCAGTTGTCTTCGTGAGTCAGTTTCTTTGAAGACGTTTTCATTGCCCTTTCTATATGTCCAAGGTATTCTCATCATTTGTGTAAAAATTAGATCTCCGCAACTTTTAAAACAGTTTTCACTAATGTATTAACAGTCCATGATTCACTTTCGTATATCAAGATGTATTTCTATAGGTTAAAGCATTCTCTTTCTCGTCTCAATTGACAAAGAAAGATTGCATAAAATATTCTTCACTTTGCCTTTGCTTGAGCTATTTAACATTTGACTTCATTAATATATCGTCCATGTGATTTTATAAAGATACATTCGTACTTAAGGGGTCACTACACGGCATTTTTTCCAATTTATGACAAAAATATCACTTTTTCAATGTTTTCGTTTTTGTAAAGTTCGGCATTCGTAGAATAGATGACACACAAAATTTATGTCATTTGTAAACAATTTAGCATAGAAAAGTTAATACTAACGACACCTCCTCGTGCACTTTTTTAAGAGAAAAAAAAGTTTAAAAGTCAGTTTTCTCAAATCTCTGTATTTCAGTTTGTTGTGTGTGTGAAATCCTAAAATCTAAGCTAATATAAAGAGTAGAAACATGAAATTTAGTATGCATACTTCGTAAGCATTATTAAAAGGACTGGTCTATCTAAAAGTAGATTTTAGAAAGTTTTTGTTTTTTAAAATTTGAATATTGTCCGATGATGCTAGATTTTTTTGACTTTTTCAATAAACCTACATTTTAAAATTCTACAACAAATATTTAAAAACATGTTTAAAGTAAATAAACTAGACCTGTACCTGTAAATAGGATAAAAGATCATGAATCCATCATCTATTGTTGAATACCTATGTTTGTTTTTAAAATTTTAGGATCCTAAGTACATATTGTTTTTTTTACAAGATGGTGGCTATTGCCATGACAACAATGAATTTTTTAACACTTAAAGTATACAAATGTAATAACATGTATCCCTACAAATGACCATTATAAAATAACTGCCGTAACTCTGTAAATAAAAAAATAATTTTTTTTTTGGTGTAGTGACCCCTTAAACATATCAACTTGCTTGGCGTTTGTCCCATTCACTTTGATAATGCATTTGAAGAGACAGTTTTATTTGTAATAACCATTACTTCTGTCAAGGATATGCAGCTAATTTAACTTTAAAATCGAGAGGATCGTCTTCCTTGCCCTAAATGTTACCTCATAAGGTTAGGTTTCTCTCCTCAGAACCACTGATCACCTACCGAGACCATCGCACAAAGCAAGAACTCCGTAGCTCCAGGAACAGAGACTCAGAGATTTCCGCAACAACTTGCACTCACAAACTACTTACGAACTAAACGATGGAGTACGAACCCAAACCAGGATTCTCAGATCGGGAGTCTAACAACCCCAACACTTCGCCAAGGAAACGCACATAACACCCCTCAGTACTAAGAGAAAACGTTGTCAATATTCCTTTCGCTTTGTCTTTCCTTGTCTCTTTTTCCACAGATTATTTTCGTGGTCACAAGTTGCAGTTTCCTTCCTTTCATAATATGACCACAAATGATGACTGTCTCTTTCTGATGTTTGTAATGAGCTGTCTCCGAACTCTTCCCTGTTTATAAACTTCTGGGTCGCCCCCCCCCTTTTTTTTTTTTTAGCTGTTCAAGGAATTCTACGAATGCTTCTGTAAAACCACTTTCCCAAGGCCTCCAGAAATTGTTTGGCTTGTTTATTAATTATCCAAGATTATTATTAAAGATTTAATAACAGTGTTAGATTAATGTAGTCAGAGAGATGTCTTTGCATTTTCCTGTTGGTTTTCTTCTGTCTCATATCCAGATCTTTTTAGCTGCCCGCTTTTACAGATACTTAGGAGAACTTTGTTTCCATAAAACGAGGGATTGCCGACACAGTGGCCTTGTTCTATGCTCAGCAGAGTTATTGCCTCCGACCAGTACGTGTCTGTTCTGTTGTTGTTCGTCGACCACAAGTAATGAGGATCACTCTTTCTTTCTTCGTTATGATCGAAGAGATGACAGAATGACTTGCGCGATGAATTGTATTAAAGTGAGGAAGAGTTGCGTAGTGTTGTTAACCTGACTCTCTTGCCCATCTGGATTGAGCGACAGGACAAGTCGAGACGTCTGGAGATGAAGTCATGTGCTGCTGTTGACCAGGGTGTTGTACATGTCTCAGTGTGCTCTTTACGCTCCACAACGCGTGGCCGGTACTAGTCATCGGGTCCGTTGAGTTGCAAGTCGTTGCATGATAGCCAGCTGGGACTTGTCTGGGAAGAAAAAGCCGCGGGTAGACGGAACTGGCCGCCACACCTTTACATCTTTCTCTAGAATGTGTGAAGACCAGACGCCACCACACCTTTACAGAATGTGTGAAGACCAGGCGCCACCACACCTTTCCAGAATGTGTGAAGACCAGACGCCACCACACCTTTACAGAATGTGTGAAGACCAGACGCCACCACACCTTTACAGAATGTGTGAAGACCAGACGCCACCACACCTTTACAGAATTTGTGAAGACCTGGCGCCACCACACCTTTACAGAATGTGTGAAGACAAGACGCTACCACACCTTTACAGAATGTGTGAAGACCAGACGCCACCACACCTTTACAGAATGTGTGAAGACTAGACGCCACCACACCTTTACAGAATGTGTGAAGACCAGACGCCACCACACCTTTACAGAATGTGTGAAGACCAGACGCCACCACACCTTTACAGAATGTGTGAAGACCGGACGCCACCACACCTTTACAGAATGTGTGAAGACCAGACGCCACCACACCTTTACAGAATGTGTGAAGACAAGACGCCACCACACCTTTACAGAATGTGTGAAGACCAGACGCCACCACACCTTTACAGAATGTGTGAAGACCAGACGCCACCACACCTTTACAGAATGTGTGAAGACCAGACGCCACCACAGCTTTACAGAATGTGTGAAGACCAGACGCCACCACACCTTTACAGAATGTGTGAAGACCAGACGCCACCAGACCTTTACAGAATGTGTGAAGACAAGACGCCACCACACCTTTACAGAATGTGTGAAGACAAGACGCCACCACACCTTTACAGAATGTGTGAAGACAAGACGCGTCACAGCCCAACGGTAGTCATTACTTCCTAGAAAGTAGGTAAGAGGCCTTCTGATCGCCACTGGCATATCCGGCACATGATACTAGTCTCATATTTTAATAAAGAAGCGGCACTGGGTCATTGATGTACTCAACATCACGTCGGTGGTTGATGTACTCAACATTACGTTGGTGGTTGGTGTACTCAACACCATGTCGGTGGTTGATGTACTCAACATCACGTCGGTCGTTGGTGTACTCAACACAACGTCGGTGGTTGATGTGCCCAAAGTCACGTCGGTGGTTGATGTACTCAACATTACGTTGGTGGTTTGTGTAGTCAACATCACGTCGGTTGTTGGTGTACTCAACATCACGTCGGTGGTTGGTGTACTCAACACCACGTCGGTGGTTGATGTACTCAACATCACGTCGGTGGCCTTTCTTGCCACGACATTAGCTGATGCCCATTTTGGAGTGAATCGACGTGGGAGCCAAGAAACAAAAATCCGACTCTAAACAAATTTAAACCCAGACCTTCTGGCTGGCAGGCGAGTGCAACTACACTATCGTGTCTCCTGTAGTTACTTATAGTCTACTTTTATCTTTAGCCTCACAAGATCTTCGTGTATATATACATATATATGATCTTTCTTGTTTTGCAGATCCTTGCTTAACCGTTGTTAAAGTTCCTGTAAGATGTAAGTTCTCGTTTCATTACATTTTCTATTTTACTGACTTGAAGAGTCGTTTCATACGTTGTTCATTAGCTGTATCTCATGGTTTAGCTTATGTTTATATTTAACATGTTTTGAACCTAATGCTTTTGATTAAATCAATCAGGCCAAACGAGAGATCATGTTGCAAGGGCAACAATTGGTCTCTATACTACTGCCTCGGTTCTGTGCGTTGAATCGAACTCTAGCACGCCACCGATACGATGCTGATAGAAGCTGCAATAATCTTGTAACAAAAGGTCGATATTAATATATAGGCACTGATGTGTTGATCAGATCGGTCGATGTTGGTGTGCGATCTTTTGTTAATGTATGTAGGTACTGATCTGTGCTGTACTTAGCTTTTAATCATGTTTGTGGTTTTTAAAATGTCCTGTACATATCTTTGGTTTCTTTTTGTGGCTTTTGGTTTGTCCTCTGCATATATTTGGTTTCTGCTTGTGGCTTTTGGTATGTTTTGTGTATATCTTTGGTTTGTGTTTGCGGCTTTTGGTTTGTGCTGTGCATATCTATGGTTTCTGTTTGTGGCTTTTGGTTTGTCCGGTGCATATCTATGGTTTCTGTTTGTGGCTTTTGGTTTGTCCTGTGCATATCTATGTTTTCTGTTTGTGGCTTTTGGTTTGTCCTGTAAATATCTTTGGTTTCTGTTTGTGGCTTTTGGTTTGACATGTGCATATCCATGGTTTCTGTTTGTGGCGTTTGGTTTGTCCTGTGCATATCTCTGCTTTTTTTGTGTGGCTTGTGGTACATCCTGTGTATATCTTTGGTTCTGTTTGTGGCTTTTGGTATGTCTTGTGTATATCTTTTGGTTTGTGTTTGCGGCTGTTGGTTTGTCCTGCGCATATCTTTGGTTTCCGTTTGTGGATGTTGGTATGTCCTATCTATATCTTTTGATCGGAGTTGTAGATGTTTAGACGTTTATATGTGCTGTGCATACCTTTTGTTCATTTGTTCAAAGTTGGAGATAGTAACTGATACTAAGAAATACAGAGACATGGCAACATACGAAGCCGTAGGCTTTGGACAAACATGGCGACCAGCTACTGACAGACAGCTTTGACATTATGAAGAAGACGTTTCATGCCATGAAAATGTCAAAATTACAATTATTGAGCATTTTCACCCAATCCCCCCCCCCCCCCCCCCCCCCCATTTTTCCCCCCTGCAGTACCAGAATTTTCTAGAAGAACATTTATGAAGGCGGGCTCAACACTTTACATTTGTGACGGGATCAAAGGAAAGAGGTAAGTTTTTGTTTAAGATCTGTGGCTTTCAGGATTCAAATGGATAGATGTCCTATGAACGGACACCGAGCAGTGAAACCTCTACATTACAGATACCAGGGGCGGCTACAGAAAGAAAACATGACGGGGTGTTGGGTTGGGGATGGGGATTGGGGGGGGGGGGGCTGGATATGCGATGAGGTTAATATCACGCCGGTTCTGGTAACTCGTGAAAAGTGAGAAAACAAGGCTGTTTATTTTGTGACCCTTTGAAAATAACGTTTGTTCTTTCGTTCGGTTGTTCGTTAATCAATATCCTATTTAGGGAGACATATATTATATATATGTAATCATCATCGTCATCATCACTATCATCATCACCTTTTTCATCATCATCAGTATCATCATCATCATCATCATCATCATCATCAACAACAACATCATCATCCTCCTAAAATCCGTAAAGTTATCATGCAAGGTGTTCACATTTTCAGGGAAATTGAACAGAAATGTTACGCGACCACAGACGACATATCCTGGAGACGTGAGTAAAGCAAAATTACACGTTGGACGCATTTTCATCATCATCAACATCATCATTATCATAATCATCATCATCCCCATCATCATCATCATCTTCACCATAATAAAATGAACCTTGTCAAATGGCTTAGATGGTCAGATCCCTATAAAATTGTCGGGAGATGGAGTTTTGCAACAGTTCAGAGCGTTGAATTTGAAGAAAACAAAGATTTGACTCCCTGATCGACCCAGCAAGAAATGGATAGGATGTAATATAATGGGAAGTCAAGGCTGTCGGCACAGTGTTGATTATATCACCAACCGACTGCCATTTGGTCAATAAGATCAGACGTCTAGCATTATTTGCCCGATCTTTGGCTACTGGGCCGCCCATTGGCTGGCCGGTAGACGACTTCGTCACTAATAGAGATAGTAATTGGGTCTGTCTCCTCTGATCGCGTCTATACCTGAGGAGTCCTTTTCATGGCTCTTAGTGATGTGCAATGCCAAACCATTTTATCTGACGCACATTACCTAGTCACAATTATAACCTTGCACTTCCCCTTCAAGGTTGCTGGCTAAAGTGACAATTTTTTAAGCAAGCAAGCATGTATATATATATGCCTGATGACCAGTGGTTTAGAAAAGAGCGTTTACCACGTGACTTACATGAGGAATAGTTACTGACGACATAAACAGTTGCTTTATAGACAAGTAAGTTAAGTAAAAGACCTTTCGTATAGGTCGTAAGTAATTTCATGGTTGTTGTTTGGTCTAAGAAAAGATATAAAAACAGAACGCTTCACAATATAACAAATACAAACAAAAAGTGAACGTTGCGGCTATTGAGCCTTCATCATTGTTTGGTCTAAGTGTAGAGAGTGGTAAGTATATATATTATTATGTGCTGCATAGCAAATTAAAAAAAAAAACATTTCAAATAATAGGAAATGTTTAAAGAGGGATCTTTTGAAACCCTTTCGAAATACTTTATAACAAAAGCATAAAAGAAATATCAACAGGTGTGGCAGAACTAAACAAAGCCTTCATTTTGAATGAACAATGCACCATGAGTTGGTCAGGAAGAGTCGACGTATGCATACAAGCAAGTATCTAATTGTTTAGGTAAGCGAAAACCGTCCGCAAAAACAGATTGTGGTTACTCACTGAACCAAGTGTCTACCGCGTTCCTTCTTGTGGTGTCGGTCAACATCAGTCGTATCCACTATGAAAACTGCCTTCTGATCCCGCAGTTTCTGACGAACAGCTTTTTTGAGCTGTCCCAGTTGACAGACAAAATTCTTAGCTAGCGAACGTTTGCTTCGACAACAGTTCACACGTATTGCTGTATCACTGCGCTTGACCAGGCAGTGAAAAATCTGTACTAAATTCACTTCCCTTCCGCGACATTCGTTCCCATTCTGTCACTGTTGTCTTCGATACTCATTTTTAATTTACCACGCCCTGCCTGTAAATTCAATTGATGCCCATTGGTCGACATCTCTTAAAGGAAATAAACTGAGTCACCGCTCTTTAAGCTTCTTTGGACAGATGTGGTATCAGTCCGGCTATTTTCCCAAAGGTTTGACTCAGAACCGATCCATCATGGGACGATAAGCACGTACTATTTGTCACCGGTCAGTACTTATCACATGTCTACGACATGCTCATGTCCAACATACGCAAAAACGCGCTCGGCGTCACGAACGGGTGTCATATGAAAGCAAACGCATGCTTAAAAAAAAACATCTATATATGGGAGGGCAGGGAGGGGTGGGAGAAAAAGGACTGTCCCTAGGTTCAGGCGCCTTTTATCCTAAGAACATATACATATATATACCTATATGTATATGTATATATATATATATATATATATATATATATGAATAGGTTCATATATATATATATATATATATATATATATATATATATATATATATAATATATATATATATATAAACATACATATAAAATAGGCGCCCGAACCTAGGGGTATATATATATATATATATATATATATATATATATATATATATATATATATATATATATATATATATATATATATATATATATAAACATATATATAAAATAGGCGCCCGAACCTAGGGGTATATATATATATATATATATATATATATATATATATATATATATATATATATATATATATATATATATAATGCTTTTTTAATAATAATAAAATATGAACTGCACTAGAGCTGGACAGTCGTGTGGGCAGTATCCTGGGATACAACTCCGAAGACAGCAGACTGTATGCGGTGTCAGCCGGCGCTGACAGTTACATGAGCTCACTAGACGGCATCGAGTGGTTCTCGGTCACTCTCGAGGACCCGAACAAGGCAAAAACTCTGGCCACTTATAAACCAGCCCTAACGGTAAGTATCTGTTGTCATTTTATGATTGGTCGGTTGGTTTTCTTTCACGGAGTGCAGGGAAAGGCAACATGAATCACAAGTGCAGTTTTTATAGGGATACGTAAGGATCATTGCTGGAGCTCATGATCTCGTGCTTTGTGCGATATTCGCGGCAGGCGGCTAGCTGTTGAGCAGAGAGAGACTAGACCATATGGAACAGAACCCAGTACAATGATGTCCATCTGTCGCTTTATCTTAATGAAATACCTATACATACGAACATGTTCCTTCATCATCATAATAGTTTAAATGTTGCCTCCAAGGTTATCTGCTGACTTAGTTCCCTGACCCTGCAAAATACAACATCAAAGTAAATGGGATAAGCCTCAAGCAAGTGGATATGTTTAAGTATTTGGACACCCTGATAACATCAGATGGAAGATGTATTAAGGAAGTTAAATGTCGAATAGCTCAAGCAAGTGGATATGTTTAAGTACTTGGGTACCCTGATAACATCAGATGGAAGATGTATTAAGGAAGTTAAATGTCGAATAACTAAAGCAAGTGGATATGTTTAAGTATTTGGGTACCCTGATAACATCAGATGGAAGATGTATTAAGGAAGTAAAATGTCGAAAAACTAAAGCAAGTGGATATGTTTAAGTATTTGGGTACCCTGATAACATCAGATGGAAGATGTATTAAGGAAGTTAAATGTCAAATAACTAAAGCAAGTGGATATGTTTAAATATTTGGGTGGCCTGATAACATCAGATGGAAGATGTATTAAGGAAGTTAAATGTCGAATAGCTCAAGCAAGTGGATATGTTTAAGTATTTGCGCACCCTGATAACATCAGATGGAAGATGTATTAAGGAAGTTAAATGTCGAATAGCTCAAGCAAGTGGATATGTTTAAGTATTTTGGCACCCTGATAACATCAGATGGAAGATGTATTAAGGAAGTTAAATGTCGAATAACTAAAGCAAAGGCAGCATTTGCAAAATGAACAATAGAGACAAAAAAGCGAATTCTTAAAAGCTATATAAATCCTATCTTGATATACGGAAGTGAATGATGGACAGTTAGTAAATTAGTGAAAACTTTTTTGGAAGCTGCGATGTGGTTTTATAGACGAATGATGAGAATACCCTGAACAGATTAAAAAGAGTAATAAAGACGTCTTGAAAGAAACTGATTCACGAAGAGAACTGATTGCCCACAACAGAAAGAGACAATCTACATTCTTAGGTCATGTGATGAGAAGGAGAAAGCTGGAGCACATCATGTCAGTGGGAAAGATGGAGGGGAGGAGAGGCAGAGGGAGACCGAGAAAAAAAAAGAGGTTGGACCGTTTGAAATCCTGGAATGGAGGATCGTATGTGTCAGAGTTGACTGGAGTACAGAAGACAGAAGGTTGTAGATATACGAGACTACCAACACTACATGACATGAACCTCAAGAAGAAGAAGAAATTCACTGGTCCCACACTAACCATAATTATTCGCCTCTTGTGACATGTCAGCTAATCGATGGCACCTGTACCTGTCTGATTGTATATTCGTCTCGGTCTTTCCTTTGAGTGGTAAACATCAGCTAGATTCCCTGGTAACTTCTCGCAGCGCCATTCTCCTCAGACCAAAATGATGTATTTGTACCTCCGCACTGTTCACTCGCAACAGAACGACAACATAGTAGCGTCTGCACAACCATCATCATTTCTGTGTCAGCTGTAAGGTTGATATCACTCGGCGGCCTTTACTTCCCATAATATTTTCTAATACCCATTTTAAGCTGCATCAATCTGGAAGCCAGCGTTAATGTTAAAAATTCGGCTTGATGTTGAAACGAGCTGCTGGCAACCGGGCTGGCAGACACGGGGTTGCAGTCTGCAGAATTAGGACCTCCAGGATGAGAATCCTACATGTATAGAACCCAATAATCTCGGTAAGCCACTTTCAGCTGTAAGGTTAAACTGAGAAAGCCCGACTTTCAGGAATTAGTCTGAAGTCCGGACTTAGCATAAACAGAACGAAGGGTTGCAGCGCGTCTGTTTCTGTATACTGTTGCGAAACAATTTCATTTGCTTTTTTCTTATGGTTCTGAATGCATTTTGCTTTTTTTTTTTCAATCATACAGTTTGTTAGTTCTGTCTGAAAATTATACTCTGTGCATTGTCACAATCAGTGCTAAGCGACCGGCTACAAAACTGCGTACAATTGACACCACACTTGTGTGTCGGGATTGTGAAACTTAGTTTTTACAACACCTAAGTCACAGATGCCAACTCTTTCTGTTATGTAATGCACTTAAATTACTTACAGGTTCCAGTGGATGGAGATCCCAAATTAAACTCGGCCACTCCAGATTCAAAGTTCACAGACTCTGGTTATGGAGGTGAGTTATTGTTTTGGTTATTGTTATTATTTTCCCCGTGTGGGTTCCGGTGTCCCATTCTGGGGATAGCAACCCACATCGACCCCAACATGCATTAGCTCAACTGCCATGGCTCAGCGTCATGAACTGAATACCAGTATTTGATATTAATTAGTTCACACAAAAAGAATGTCCACAGACAAACTGACTATCTGTTTATCTACTGTGGAGTTGCTCGCAGAAGATGTGGTTGACATGTGTGCAACATCAGGGTCAAATTATGAGAGTCAGTTAGATAGGACACATTCCAGAAGTCCCGTTTAACCCATTAAAAATGTATGATTAGGCACCGATAAAAGCGACAAGTTCCGCCCTGTTATATCTTACTGTCCTGAAAGAGTCGCGTTACCACACAATTATACCAGTCGTTCCCTTGTGGGATGGAATTTTTCGTTATTTGAAGCCACATCCTGGCTTTAGCCAGGGGCCCTGAATATAGCTAGGCCATAAACATGGCCAAACGGCTGAAACATTTTCTGGGATCTCTCCACGGATGATCCTCATTCGCTTGGTGTCACTTTGTGTCACCGGGTGTTTATCGCATGTGTGATGTCCTGGTGGAGTGGGTACAACAAGAGAGAGAGAGAGAGAGAGAGAGAGAGAGAGAGAGAGAGAGAGAGAGAGATAGTGAGAGATAGTGAGTGAGAGAGAGAGAGAGAGAGAGAGAGAGAGAGAGAGCCCGATTCCCTCAAGGCCCGAACCCACGACCTTTCGATCGGCAGGCAAGCGTTTAGTTGCTACGCCACGTCGACTCCCCAATTGTTATTACATTTTCTTCTTGCTTTCCTTACTCATCATCATTCATCAGAAAGTCCTTTACAGAACGTCGCTCTCTTCACGGTGCGCCTGAAAGTATCCCTTTCCCTAGCCAGCTCTCCAGCCCCATGTGCTTTCTATGCCAATGCGTCTCCAATGTCCCGTATCCATCTTCGTGGAGGTCAAAGGAACAAAATATCATCCAATGGAAAAATGGAAACAGAAATAGAACACAGAGGTAATATGGCTAATCAGACAGATGTCACTAATTTTGCAGAAGAAACATGCAACAATTGATACCGAAAGAGCAGGGCCAAACGTGGATATTAACAGCAACAACAACGCCAAAACTTAAACAGTAGAAATCCTATGATCTCTGGGCTGGAAGGCGAGCATGTTACACGCTCCCTTTCAGCTATGTCTTGGAGTTATATTCTTACCGGTATTAATTCAGTCCTTACATCATTTATACTGATGATGACAATGTAAAAATGGTATCCGGTTGTTGTTAATATGATCTTTTTTTTTTCCAGCCACCATTGATGGAGTGATGAAGAGCGGCGCAATAATATTTCATTGGAGTGACTGCTGTCCATAAAAACACATTACCAGACATGGATATTTAGTTCTGTTGTTAAATAGAAATTTTCACCGTTTGTTGAGTTGGGATTAAATATTTGAACCATAAATGGTACATTCTGATAGTCAAGTAAAGACAGCAAAAGCTTTTTTTTTTTTTTTTTTTTTGGTGAAAAGATTTCTGTCATGTCTTAGGTCTCACAGCACCAAGCTGTAGCTTATCCTAATTAAAACTTCCTGCAGTAGCATTGTTTAACTTTGCCAGAGTATAGGGCGCAATTTTGTGTGTGGTTATTTTAAAGCCCCATCCTACTGTAGTCAGGGGCCCTGATATAGTCTAATGGTTAAACTGGGTTTCTGGGACTTTTACCCGGGTGATTTTCATCCTAAAAGGGCTCTCTGTGTCGCCGGATGCTCATCTCTGGTAGTGCGGTCTTCTTCACTCAGCATAGTTTTTATTCAAGACCCACCCAATGTGGACTACAGATTACCCTGCAATCGTTTTTTATGACACAGTATAACTGTGCCGGATGGCTGTTCGGCTGGACAAGGTTTGCAGGATTTGTACCTTTTTAATTCTTATCCTTGAGATGTGAATCCTACAGACGACAATGTTAGTGGAGAAAAAATTCCTTCAAAAAAAAAGTGTTTCGAGTTTCACAATATTAAGTCAGATGTTCTGTCTCTGTTGTCTCTTCATGTTAATGGTACATGTCCATTCACGATTATTCTCTCTTCTCTAGACCCTGTAATGAAGTCGCTCTCCCTACCTTTATCTTTACCTCTAGACCCTGCAATGAAGTCGCTCCTCATACCTTTACATTTAGACCCTGCAATAAAGCCGCTAGTCTCACCTTTACCTTTACCTCTAGATCCTGTAATGAAGTCGCTCCTGTTACCTTTATCTCTAGACCCTGCAATGAAGTCGCTCCTGTTATCTTTACCTCTAGACCCTGCAATGAAGTCGCTCCTGTTACCTTTACGTCTAGACCCTGTAATGAAGTCGCTCCTGTTACCTTTACATCTAGACCATGCAATGAAGTCGGTCCTCATACCTTTACATCTAAACCCTGTGATGGAGTCGCTCCTCCTACCCTTACCTCTAGACCCTGCAATAAAGCCGCTAGTCTCACCTTTACCTTTACCTCTAGACCCTGCAACGAAGTCGCTCCTGTTACCTTTACCTCTAGACCCTGCAATGAAGTCGCTCCTGTTACCTTTACATCTAGACCCTGCAAAAAAGCCGCTCGTCTTACCTTTACCTTTACCTCTAGACCCTGCAACGAAGTCGCTCCTGTTACCTTTACCTCTAGACCCTGCAATGAAGTCGCTCCTCCTACCTTTATCTTTACCTCTAGACCCTGCAATGAAGTCGCTCCTGTTATCTTTACCTCTAGACCCTGCAATGAAGTCGCTCCTGTTATCTTTACCTCTAGACCCTGCAATGAAGTCGCTCCTGTTATCTTTACCTCTAGACCCTGCAATAAAGTCGCTCCTGTTACCTTTACCTCTAGACCCTGTAATGAAGTTGCTCCTCCTACCTTTATCTTTACCTCTAGACCCTGCAATGAAGTCGCTTCTGTTACCTTTACCTCTAGACCCTGCAATGAAGTCGCTCCTCCTACCTTTATCTTTACCTCTAGACCCTGCAATGAAGTCGCTTCTGTTACCTTTATCTCTAGACCCTGCAATGAAGTCGCTCCTGTTACCTTTAGCTCTAGACCCTGTAATGAAGTCGCTCCTGTTACCTTTACCTCTAGACCCTGCAATGAAGTCGCTCCTGTTACCTTTATCTCTAGACCCTGCAATGAAGTCGCTCCTGTTACCTTTACCTTTAGACCCTGCAATGAAGTCGCTCCTGTTACCTTTACCTCTAGACCCTGTAATGAAGTCGCTCGTCTTACCTTAGTTGAAATCAACAAATGCCTGATTACTTGTTTGGTATTGAATGAGGTAACAACAAATCTAGAGAAAATAAAGCAGAGGTGAGATCAACGACCTGGTTGACCCTCAACACTAAAAGGAAAGGCAAGACGGACATGTATTGAGACTTACTGGTACCATTGGCATTGGAATTATGTGAATGTTGTTAAAAGTTGGGGACGGATCACTTTTGGGAATGTCCCAAACGATCTAATGTCTTTAGCTCAACCAAACCGCCCAGTTGAAACTCCTCTATAATATTTACATACAGACTTTCACACTTATCCGTTGCCATAAGAAATATACATGCTCAGGGCACTCTGAATTGTGTTGCTTCAATCTGTATTCAACATTGTACAACTGTCGTGTTTATAGTTTCAAATATTAACAACATTCATGTGTTTGCTTTTAGATAGACACAATAATAATATTTCCAGCTTCAAGTGTCATGTCAAAAAGATTATTACAATGCTCATTTGTCACAAATATGTCTAAATCACTCAAATATTTATATATTTACTCAAATATCTATGTACCTACTCAAATATCTACAACGTACCCGTGTTTTCGTCAAATATCTACAAAAAAATATGTATATTAATAAATAGCGATACCACAGATATTTACAATTTAATCTGTAGAATCAATGAGAAATCTTTGTTCTGAAATGTGGAAGATAGTTTCAAAGATATAAGACATACAGAGAACACCTAGTTGTCCCTGGTGTCATTTGTGTAATTTGTGTGTGTGTTCCATGGCCATGTAAAAGAATTAAACATTTAATTTCTGCCGAAAACAGTTTCCAAGTATGTGAGAGCATACATCTTTCCTGTAGCAACAAACGGATGTCACAGTCCTTAAAGTAACAAATAGGTTCTTTTTTTTTTTTTAAAAATGAAATACCATAGAAAGATTCTCTGAATGTAAAGGACAAAGAAGAAAATAAATACTGACTAATGGGGCCGGTAATCGCTAGGGATTAAAATATATTATGAATTTCATTGTTGCTCTCATTCTCAGCTCCACGATGTTTGCCTCATTGTTGGATCCAAAGACTCAAAAATTGGCTTTTAAAAATATGTAATGAAGATTTATCCTTTTTTGTGTGTGTGTGTACTCTAGGTTTAAAAAGCAATAGAAGGCAACTGGTCTTATCGGCGCTATATATATATATATATATATATATATATATATATATATATATATATATATATATATATATACTTTTTCTTTACTTGGCAACATTTGGGAGCCACGCAGAACGGTCAGATGCAGAATACACTTATAAAGAAAATATAACTGAGATCAAGACAGTCATTAGAACCCAACTGAAATAATTACCACGGAGAATACAAACCTAAACACATAGTCAACGTCCTCAAACGAGAAAAACAAACCATTCTGTTTTGACCGCGAACACAGCAGATTCCACAGCTATACATACGGGGTATTCAAGACTGGGGATTAGGAGCTTTTCCAATTGTACAGCACCCTGCAATACTGAATGAACATATGCTGCAGACATGCTCTGTTCATGCAATAGAGAGGTCTCAAGTGTGGTCAGTTACATTCCAGAGAAAACCAACAGTGTATAGAACAGTAGTGGAGTTACGTCGCTCCGTGGCCTCAGTAGTGGCCTGTGGCTTTTCCTTATGAAAAAAAAAAAAAAACTGCCAGAAAGAACGAACAAAAGAAGAAGAAGAAGAACTTAATCCCTTACATAATTTATCCACTATTTTGTCTGTAGCAAACATGTAATCATAACTGGTTCTCACTGTTTTCAATTTCATTTTAACGATGCAGACGTCTGCATAAAATTGTGTATGTAACATGTTTGTGTTTCTTTTAAAACAAATGGAAAATAATATACCAGAGATAGTAATTCTAAATTTTTATTTTAAATAATAGAAATACATTTTTAAATTGTTTCGCGTTTTATTTAGTATCTTCCAATGTAGCTTTTTAACGGCAAAATGAAATATGCAAATTGTCCATATTTTGTCCAGGTACAAAATATGCTAGTACAAATTCATCTGCTGTTAATTTTGACTGTAAAGTGTTGTTGTTGCTGTTATTCTTGACGCTGTTGTTGTTACTTTATTTTCTTATTTCAAAGCATAATCAGTAAAAAAAAAAAAAAAAAAAAAAAAAAAAAAAAAAAAAGAAAGAAATGTCACTCACCTTAGTTCTCAAAGAATTTACAGGAGATATAGTGCAGACAAACGATTATTAAACTGCTCGTATATAGTGCAGACAGACCATCTTTAAACTGCTCGTATATAGTGCGGACAGACGATTATTAAAGTGCTCGTATTTAGTGCAGACAAACGATTATTAAACTGCTCGTATATAGTGCAGACAAACGTTTATTAAACTGCTCGTATATAGTGCAGACAACCGAATATTAAACTGCTCGTATATAGTGCAGACAACCGAATATTAAACTGCTCGTATTTAGTGCAGACAACCGAATATTAAACTGCTCGTATATAGGGCAGACAGACGATTATTAAACTGCTCATAAATAGTGCAGACAAACGATTACTGAAAACTAGTTGCATTATTAAATGACTGGTTTCTTCTGTCTATTCAAAGCCATTTGTATTCACATACACAAACACTTCATCACCATTGGACTGTAGGGTACACATTGTGGTGTAGAGATCACATTACCTTAACTGTAACTTCTTTAGGGTTGAATGGGGTATCTTGTCGGACTGCCATCCAGGATATGATTCTTGAGCCGGTGTGACCCTGAGGAAGAAAATAGATTGTTTTATTCATCTTCAAATTCACCGGAATTTGAACAGTACTGTCCATGTGATCTGAATTAGATAAATTTGGAAGAAAACAAAAAGGGTGGGGAGGCGTGGGGTTTGAAGCGATTAGAGAGATATCTGGACAACCGTTTGCATCATCATAAAACAACGAAAGCAATGTAAAACTGACACAATATTAGCGGGGGGGGGGGGGGGGGGGGGGCCAGGGGGCAACAGACAACGCACCTCCAAACACACACTGAAGTGGGAAGCAAATGAAACTGAGCAAATGAGAAAGTCCAACAGAAACACTATGATGAACGTTGTTGACAGAGGC